GAGCCGCATGTGGCTCAGGAGCCACAGTTTGCCGACCACTGGTCTAACGCTTTAACATTAATAGATGTCCAATGTGATAGATTTTCACTAACAAAAAAAAGTCTAGTTTTATCACTGACAACGGTACTGCATATGTTAGTAAATGACAAAAATTATCTTTTTTTTCTTTTATTATTTTATGTTTATTGTTGACACTATTGCAGATGTCTCCATCCCTCTTGCCCCCTTTGCTCACCTAAATGAAACTTTTTATGCTTCTGTTTTGGTGTGTGGCATCATAGTGTTTAATGAAACTGAAACATGTTTTGCAGGATTCTATCACTTACCTTCCCTGCTTTGTGGAAGCACTTAGAACCCATTTGTATGACTGATCTTTGCCAAAAGGACATATTCCCTTTCAAACCAAAGAGATGTGATAAAAAGAAGTATAAACAAAATAAAATGTGGAAATTGACATATCTTTTTATTTTAAGCTGCCTGTTCCATTTAAATGAAAATAGGTACAGGAAAAATAAATGTTCTTGAGATACATAGGATTCTGTCTTGTTTCTATGAAAATTATTATATTTATGTGTGTCTATTGATATATGAAAATTTGAATTTGGGCAGTGGTCTAATTTTTATTTGTTTAGACAAAAACTATGGCCTGGATACTTTTAATGTGTTATCTCTATTATTTTCAAAACACAGAGCAAATCTTAAATTTATGCATACAGCGATATCTCTTGTATAGTGATAAAAGGTAATGGTTTACTTATGAACCTTTATTAAAATATAAATAAAATATTTAACTTTCTTATAATAATGATAAATGTGGTCAGAGGAATTCACACAGGTCTAACAAAGAAATATCATTGTTAGGCCATTAGAAGGAAGAATTTATTTAACTGAGTAAGCAGATATAAAATGATTCATTAACCAAATTCCAAACCTGGATTCTTCATGTTTCCAAAAGTAAGGTTTATCTTTGCCCTACATTCTTTAAATTAAGCCATTTGGAAACCTACCTGAAATGAGCAAGTCTTTCTGTCCTTATCTCTGGTACTTCAACAATAGGCAGATTGCATTTTATTTCTACCTTGTGACTGTTGGGATAAATCTCTAAAGCCTCTGCCTCCACTCTTCTGTGTTGTGAGAATATGATTAATTAGATTCCACTTCTGTGTTTTCCCCTGTGAATGCTGCAACAACTTTAGCAAAGGCTCAACTTTAATCCTTCACTCCTTTGAGTAAATTGGTCAGTATCAGACATTTATCAGACTTTATTTGAATGCTGTGCTTCATGGTCACCATGGGTCTACATTCTCCTCCAGTGAAAGCAGATGTCTGATGAACTTAGATTTTCATCTGCTTTTCATTTTTATCCTGTTTCTTCCACTTCTGAAACATCTCCTTTACTTCTCACTTAGAAATATGGTCGTGTCACATATTACTATTTTCATTAGTTATTGTCTGATTCCTTCCCACAAGTACACATCAACTGCCCTCATTGCAAGGATTTTTTTTTTGACTGTGTAAGGGTGGCAAACTGTTTCCTTCTCCTCTTCTGTTTTTTTTTTTTTGTTGTTGTTGTTTTGTTTTTTTTTTGGGGGGGGGGACTGGCCTAATAGGAAATTGGCATCACACAAATTAACAGGAGAAAGACAAATAGAATTTTGCATGGAGAGGGGACCCATACCAAATGTGAGACTCAAAGAGGTGACCAAAGGACGCAGATTATGTACCTTTAACACAAGTACACAACAAATATGTTTAAAATTGAGGAATTGACAAGACAAAAGGGTTTAAGACAGGAAGACTTAAGTAACAAGTTTTGTTTATACAACCTTCCTAGCTCTACATTCCCTATTTCTGGTGTTAAGAAAGCAAATATATATTGTTGCAAATTGAATACCAATGTGAGACCTTTTGTCTAGTGACATTAGAGAATGCCCTGCTCCTTTACCCCCAACCTTCATTTATGCAGCTTCTTAGAGTTGTCAATAGGACCATATCTGTTCACCAGAATGAGGGAAAGAAGGGAAATCCACAGGCTGATGGGAAGACTCTGAAGTGCAATGTAAATCTAGAGCTGCTGATCCTGGGGATGTCTGCTGATGTAATTGGGGCAGAGTGAGGAGAAATAGAGGATCTGAGAAGTTCTCTACATCAAATGATCCCTGCCCCTGATACTTACTCAGCTGAGGCCAAATGAAGCAGTACAGATGAATCTCTGTCAGATGACATACTAGAATCAAATAAAACAAATTGAGATTTTTTAAAAAAATTACAAAAACTCTAAAATAAAAAAAATGAATTTTTTGGGGATGAATATCCCATGGCTCAATTTTGTAGGGGACAGTCATTCATTTATTCAATAAATGTTTTAAAATGTCATGTGCAAGCTGAACATTATAAATAGCAAAGTAGAAATATTGTGAACAGGCAGAAAAGGGACTTGCATTTGTGGACTATGAGTTGGAGCAGCAGCCTTTTAAATTTTCTTATCCATTTTTTACTACTTATATATTTCTGTGATGATGGAATATTTATAAGCTAATCCTGGTACATAGGAAGGATACAAACATACCTCTTATTATCCACTAATACTGTATTCTACCTGAGCAAATTTATCAAACTCATTACCAAAATTGAATCATAATAAGAATAATTTGAATTGACATAGGTGGAGAGGTTATGATATTCACTGGGGCATACCCATGAACAGAGAAAAGGTGTATAAAAAGAACTTTTTGAAAATGAATTTATTAATACTCTCTCTAGTTTGGAAAGCAGATTAAGGTCAATAATGACTACTCTGTACATTTTATTTAGGCATAATAATAATTAATGAGTACTCCAAAAACCTGAAATTGTATAATGTTTTCCATAACTGGATTAACAGCTAATCAATAATAGTATAAACCTCATGTACAATTACCTTAAGTTATTAAAATAGATTTTAGCATCTCTTAACATCCAACCACTAAGTAATGACTACTATTAAAATTGTGTTCAGAATACAGTTTCAATTTATTTCACAGATACACAGAAAACCAATTTAAGTCATTGCAAATATAATAGCAATGTAAATAATATTTGTTCTTTGTTTTATTTCATTGAACATAAATTTTTGTTAATAACTCTGGGCATTTCATTTCTTTTTAAAAAAATTAATTAGCATAATTCCATGAACATGTAAAGGGAGATAAAATTCTCTTCTAGTAGCCATTAGAGATGGTCAAGGTCCCATATCCCCAACTTCATTCATGCAGTTTCTGTATAGGTTTCAAGAACATGAATCTGTTCTCCAAAGTGAGGACTGGAAGGAAAAGCCACAGTCTGATGTCAAGACTATGAAGTGCAATATAATCTAGAGTTGCTTCCTTGACTGGTGTGGCTCAGTTGGTTGGAACATAGTCCTGTGCACCAGAAGGTTGCAGGTTTAATTTCCCATCAGGGCACACACATAGGTTGTGGGTTCCTTCTTGGTCAGAGTGCCTATGGGAGGCAACCAATCGATGTATCTCTCTCACATCGATGTTCCTCTCTCTTTCTCTCTCCCCGTCTTTAAAATCAATTAAAAATTAAAAAAATTAATCTAGAACTGCTGATCCTGCTGATCCCTGTGACAGAATGTTTAAAAATGAAAGATCCAAGAAGTTCTCTACATCAAATGATCCTGGTCTCTGACACTTACATAGCTTAGGCCACAAGAAAAAGTACAGGTGGATTTTGTGTAAGATGAACATACAAAAATAAAATAAAACAAAGAAAGTTTTTTTTTCTTCTTCATTGATAAAGGCTCCTTTTTATATCAGTCTTGCAGGGGAACACACATTCATTTGATCAATAATTTTTAATTGCATTTATTAGGTTGACATTGGTTAATAAAATACAGGTTTCAGGTATACAATTCTATAAAACATCATCTGTATATTGTATCGTGTGCTTACCACCCCAAGTTAAGTCTCTTTCCATCACCATTTATCTCCCCTTTACCTTCTCCTCCGGCCCTCCACCCGCCTTCCCTCTGGTAATCACAGCACTGTTGTCTATGTCCAGGAGCCTTTCTTTTTTTTCTTTTGCTTAATCCCTCACCCTTCTGATCTAGCCCCCAACTTTCTCCCCTCTGACAGCTGTCAGTCTTCTCTGTATCCATGAGTCTGTGTCCATTAGTTTATTTTGTTCTCTAGATTCCACATATAAGTGAAACCATATGGTACTTGCCTTTCTTTGATTGGCTTTATTTCACATAGCATAATAATCTTCAGGTCCATCTATGCTGTTGCAGAAGGTAAGACTGCTTTTTTTTGTGTCTGAGTAGTATTACATTGTGTAAATGTACCACCACTTTTTTATCCACTCATCTACTGATGGGCACTTGGGCTGCTTCCAAGTCTTGGCTATTGTAAATATTGCTGCTATGAATGTTTTTGAATGGTATCCTGAAAGTGAGCATTGTAAATAGAAAAGTAGAAATAATGGCGAACAAGACATGAAAAGGCCTTGTATTTATGGAACTTAGAGTTAGGCAGGAGGATTTAAATTTATTCTTATTATTTACTACTTATTACTTTTAGGTGTTATGATGTAAAACTTATAGTATGATGCTAGTACATAGAAAGAAGCCAAAAATGAGCTAAATTAAGCCACCAAAACTCCCTTCTGGTTAAGCAAGTTTATTAAACTCATTTTTTAAAAATGGAACTTTAAGGAGGATAAATTCATTGAGATGGGGGGGAGACGTGACTATGCCTGTATCTCTCTGGGACATACCCATGAATAGAGAAAGTGGTATAAAAATACCCTCTTTGCAAAACAATATAATGAAACAATTGCTACTCTACCTTAGTTTGAAAAGATTAAGATTAAGAGTGAGTGTTTCCTATACTTAATTTAAGCACAAAGATAAAGAACTATCCAGAATTGTACTAGTGAGACTACAGGACACTTGTCAAAGTACCTGAACTTGAGCTCTCAACATCTCTAAATAAAAAATACTTTGAGTTAACATGCTTTCACCCAGAACATAACTTAGTGCCTAGTGCTTTCCTCAGGGCACCTTTCACATCCTTATTCCTTAAACTGTAGATCAGTGGGTTTAACATGGGGATGATAACTGTGTAAAAAACAGAAGCCACTTTGTCCGTGTCCAAGGAGTAACTGGAGTTGGGTCTGAAATACATGAACAAGAGCGTACCAAAAAATACCCCCACAGCGGTTGTTAGGTGGGCACAGGTAGAGAAGGCTTTGCGTCTGCCCTCTGCTGAGTTCATTCTAAGGATGGTGGTTATGATGTAGCTGTAGGAGAGGAGGACAGTGATGATGCTGGACCCCACAACACAGCTACAGGAAATGGTCAACACTATTTCAATGATGGTTGTATCTGAGGAGGAGAGGGCTAGTAAGGGTGGGATGTCACAGAAAAAGTGATTGATGACATTGGAATTGCACAATGATAATGGAAAAGTGCAAGAGGTGAAGATGGTCATATCCATCAAACCTGCAACGTAGGCAGTGGCCACGAGCCGGAGGCACACCCTCCTGGACATGGCACTTGTATAAAGAAGTGGATTACAGATGGCTACGTAACGGTCATATGCCATGACAGACAGCATGACACATTCCACAGCTGCAAAGAACCCGAAAAGAAACATCTGAAGAAAGCACAAATTGTATGGAATCCTTTTTTGCTCAGATAAGAAATCAGCCAGCATCTTGGGAGCGACAGTGGAGGAGTAGCAGACATCACAGAAAGACAGGTTGCTCAGGAAATAATACATGGGCGTGTGGAGTCTGGGGTCCATGTTGATCAGCAGGATCATCATCCCTAGATTGATCACGGTGATGCCATAAACCAGCAGGAAGAGCACAAAGAGCCCCTGCTGCACATCCTGTCTGCCAGAAAGTCCTAGGAGGAGTAAGTCAGCGTAGGCAGTGGCCACGAGCCGGAGGCACACCCTCCTGGACATGGCACTTGTATAAAGAAGTGGATTACAGATGGCTACGTAACGGTCATATGCCATGACAGACAGCATGACACATTCCACAGCTGCAAAGAACCCGAAAAGAAACATCTGAAGAAAGCACAAATTGTATGGAATCCTTTTTTGCTCAGATAAGAAATCAGCCAGCATCTTGGGAGCGACAGTGGAGGAGTAGCAGACATCACAGAAAGACAGGTTGCTCAGGAAATAATACATGGGCGTGTGGAGTCTGGGGTCCATGTTGATCAGCAGGATCATCCCTAGATTGGCGATCACGGTGATGCCATAAACCAGCAGGAAGAGCACAAAGAGCCCCTGCTGCACATCCTGTCTGCCAGAAAGTCCTAGGAGTATGAAGTCAGCAAACACAGTGCAGTTCTCAGCAGCCATCACTCAGGTCTGGAAACCCCTGGCTGTGGAGGATCGAAATGGATGTGGAGAGTTAACATCATCTATCTTAATGGTTAAGTGGCTGATTCTTTCTATTATTTAGCAATTAGAAAAAGAAGTAAACAATGCTAGGACTTCATGAGGAAATCTGACTCTTTGGAAGTATATGCAATCTAACATAAATCAGTAAATGGTAATGATAATATCTCTTACATTTCTGTAGCACTTCAAAGCGAGTTTGTGGCACGCTTTTATGTTTAATCATGCTATTTCCATACTAACCTAACTAGTATTATGGTAGTTTTTGTTAATCCTGTGTTATAGATTAAGAAATTGATGTTTTCATATTGGAGACAATAGTTTGTAACGTAATTGGTTCAGTTATCCACAACTTCTGACAAGATTGTGGCTGTTTTTCAGCATTATACCCTTTAATGGAGAAACATAGTTAAGTGAGAGGTACAAATATGAATATATTGCTTTATTTTCCCCTCATCATTTACTTGTGGGGAAGGCAAAGATATGGTGGACTTCTGGATATAGCATTGTCCCATGTCTCAATGACCAGGGATGGAGATGATCTGTGATTCAGGACCCAGTGGAGCAGGGAAGGTGGTGGTTGCTGGAGAAGATGCTGGAAGGGTCTCCATGAGTGATCCTTAGAGTGGTATGTGCCAGGGCTAACCTTGCTCCCTCGACAGCTTCTGTTCAGCAGAGATTGTAATGAATGTTTGGGACTTGACCATAGACATGCTGGTAGCAAGGGTGACAGAGACATAAGAAAGGCCTGATGTATTTCTATGTGAGTTACTTTCCTCTAATCAACTCAAGTCCACATGATCTATTCACCAACAGAACAGATGTGTCAGACACATGATAACAGTCCTTATATGTCCATAGTCTGATAACCTCAGAGAGAAATCATGTCTGAACTGTGCCACCATTTCTCTAAAAATTGAAATATTTCTTATTGTTTTCTTTGATCCCTAATTTTCTTGAATATCTATGAAATATGCCTCTCTTTGCTTTAAAAGAATTGTTCATGGGGAGGCTAATTGAATTCTACATCCTACGGTTATATTTTGTCCAATCAATTATGTTATATATAATGTCACACATGACCACTCCTGTTCTGTGAAAATATAATGAAAGTGGAGTTGAAGGTAGAAGAACAGAACAGGAAAATCTGAATAATGATCACATTCAGTTCTCCAAACCCTTGGTGTAAACTCCTTTTGATATCTGCCCCTGGTTGAAAGGACATGGGACAATGTTATATCCAGAAGTCCACCATATCTCTGCCTACCCCACAAGTAAATGATGAGGGGAAAATAAAGCAATATATTCATTATTTGTACTCTCACTTAACTATGTTTCTCTATTAAAGGATATAATAATACTGAAAAACAGCAGGAATCTTGTCAGAAATTGTGGATAACTGAACCAACTTGTCAGAAGTTGTGGATAACTGCACCCATCTTTTAAAAAAATGCTTTCCTTAAAAAAAAAAAGAAAATATTTTTTTAAAATATAAAAAGTACAGCTAAGAGATTAAAACTAAAAAACTCCTGCCCCCTCCATAATCCATACTTGCATTTCATTGTATTCCCTGCCATTTGTGAATATGCCTTTAAAATAGACTGATAAATCCATCAAAATAAAAGTAATCAAAGTAAAAGTCTGTGTAATATTTCACACCCTCTTTAGGTTTTATGCCATGATTTCAGTCAATAAAGATAAAAAACAAAAGAAATATAAAATATAAATTAGAAAAACAACAAGAAATGGCCGCACCTGTCTCAGAACACCAGCTTCTCTGTCCCATCTGGTCTGCGTGCAGGAGGGCTCAGCACTGTCTCCTCGATGACCTGGGTTATATCACCATCTCGGTGTCTCGTCACTGGGTGTTGAACACGTCGTCTCTCAGGAATGAGTGCCGGATATAATTATAGGTTTTATCATCTGTTATTTCCTACAGGCTGGGTGACTGAGAAAGAAATACAGCCCTTTAAAAAAAAGTATGTTAGGTGGTTTAAAAAGCCACCTAAATAATTTCCACCAGGTAAACTCAAGGAAGTGCTGTATGTGTGGGACCCAAGAGCTTAGCTGCCAGTCTCTGCTTCTCTGGAGTATATTTGGAGGAGGTGGGGTCATCCTTGGTCCCCTTCTGATTCCCTTCCATACTTTCTTAGCCCTCAGGTGCTCCCTCTCCAGGGATGGCAATTTCCTCAGGCCACTCTTCCTTTAGGCAGGATCTGCTTTACCTTTATAAACATGGAAGCCCTCTAGACATGTAGTCTAACTCCCAGTCCCCATTAGATTTGGAGCCTGGGTAGTAGCAATATATTCCTGAAAATTGGATAATTTCAATTCCTTCCCAATGGGTTTGTGTTCTAATAGAAAGACTTTCTTTAACTGTGGGTGAGGGGGAAGAGTTAAGGTAGAATTTAAGGCCTCAGAGACAAACAAGGGAGAAAAATATCCTGTACCTACATGGTTTTCCTGATATCACTGGTGCCCCGAAATGTAATACTGCATAGATGACTGTCTACTTATAATCTTCTTCTTCCAGATAATGATTGCCTGCCCCTGAGACATGGACCATTATCACATAAGTTCAGAGCATGACAATGCTACCAAGGACAACCAGGTTTTATAAGGCTTTCTGTTGCAGGAAATAGGAAAAGTAGGGACTGTGGGTTTGATAACACATCTCATATATGAGTAAGGTAGTACCTTCTGGTAATAAAAATTAATCACTTAATGGAATATTCTATGGAAGTTGCATGCTTTATTAATTTTACAAGAATATTTTGAAAACATGTGTATATGAAACTATTAGAGATTTAAAAATTAATAATGAAATCCTGCAGTTGTCTATGACATTATAGTAAACTAGAGGCCCAGTGCATGAATTCATGCCCGGGTGGGGTCCGGCCAGCCCGCCCCA